TCAAGCCTGGGGTATGCGAACCAACTTTAACTCAGCAGCTATTTTTAGCTTTGCTTTATATGGCCAGGAAAGGAATGAGGGCTATAGAAGGGGGAGGGTGCCAAGAGACTTTTGGGCCAGGGGCCTTCCCCACCCCACCCCTTCTATGCCAGAGTTGAAGAGCTTAACCTCCCTTCAAAGCAAGGCTGGAAGAGAGGGCAGCTGGGTAGAGGTGCACATGGCAGGGGCTTCAAAGAAGATGCCAGGGCCAGGTGCTTTAGAACAGTGACTTTGAAACTGCTGGATCATGGTCTGCAGTAAGAATCACGTTTTATATCCTGACACGCATAAACACAGAAGTTTTTAAACACAAAGTGGGGTGTGTGTGTGTGTGTGTGTGTGTGTGTGTGTGTACGTATTCTCAAATAAAAAACATTTCAGGAAAAAATGCTTTATCTTATTCTTTGTGAAATACTCCAACAGTTTCTTTTTATGCTATGTTATTCTTTCATTTTTGAAAAATGTTAAGTCCTGACCCACTAAATTGATTTGTCTGCCAACAAACTCGTTGTTACCTCCAGTTGGGAAAGAAACTGTTTGCTTTCATTTAGAGCAGATGGTGGCCTGTCACAAGAAACTAGTATTTATTAAGTGTTCTTGTTTATCCCCTGAAAAATTATGAGAGGGCCAGCGAGCTGGCTCAGCAGGTAAAGGCATTTGCCGCCAAGTGACTTGAGTTCAATGGGCTTGAGTTCTCTCCGTGAGTTCTCTCCTTCCACTATGTGGAAGGAGAGAAACAACCCCTACAAGTTGTCTTCTGACTTCCATACACATACTGTGACACATATGCACCCTCCCTTCCCACACACAAAATAGGTGTAATAATTATTTTAATTGTATAAGAGGTTAGGAGAGGTCTAGTTCATGGGCAAGGAAGCTAAGGCTCAGGAATAACATGGTAGGGCGGTAACCCAGGACTGCAGGCCCCCAACTGCTCCTAATCATAGGATCTTATTTGCCTACATTCCTGTCGGTGCCACAAGGATAGGGCAAGGGGCAGGTCCTTAACAAACCCTCAGGGGACTGATGACAGGTTGATTAAAGACATTTTCCGAAGCAGTGGCCACGTCTAATTTTGGAGAGTTACACCTCATGTGTGGCTTGGGAGAGAGAAGCCAGAAGGTTTCCAGGGTCCCTGGAGGTGGAGTCATGTCATCGGGAGAAAGCTGGGTAAACCAGAGCAGCTGGTCTTCTGATCACCTGGCTTAAGAGCTTCTGGGCACACCTGGGCTCAAACCCAGGCCCTGCAAAGTGTGGGTAACCCAGCCCATGCTGGCAACGGCAACCTGCACTCTTGCCTGTACCCCTCATTTTTGCAGACCTCCTGACACCAAACATTGTTGCTGTTCCTCAAACATGCTAAGTCTGGTCTTGCCTCAGGGCCTTTCCATTTCCATCTCTTGCTTGAAGGCCCTCCCCTCTAGTCCTCCCCATCCTGTGTCTGCGACCACCTTACGCAACTGTCTTCTTCCCTCTCTGATAGTAACTTTGAGAAATTGTATACATGGCTGCTTTCTGGTTTGCTTCTGTCTCCTCCACTAGATAAGAGCTACAGAAGACTCAGTCTTGCTCCCTATCAGTCCCTACCACTTGTCATGGGACAATGACAGGTGTTTAGTACTGTTGGCTGCAGACGTGAATGGTTTTCCTCTTTTTAGACATGCTGACAGATCACCCCATCGGGCCCCAATCTCACCTCACCCCAGCCATGTGTGTCCCTATTACTCACATCCGGACCCCCAATCCCTTGGGGAGAGAGAGACAAGGGACAGGAGGGGCCGTCTGACACATGCCTTCGATACATCTCTTTGCACAAATGACTGACACTCTATAAGCACTCAAGGATTATGTCCATTTTATAGCTAGGGAAACTGAGGCTTGCTCTCTGCTGAGTCCCCAGTACCTAGCACCATGCCCAATATAAATATCTGCTGAGTTGAACTGCCCTGAATTGGAGGTTTGGTGAATGGCTCAAGGTCATCAGAATTTGTCCCCAGTTTAGTCCAGTTCCAGCCAGTGCTATAGAGCTGTCCTGTGTACCATTAGAAGCTTGAAGGACACAGTTGGGGGACAGTCCTTAACTAGGCATGAACCCATCTGAGCCTCTCAACGTACCAGAGGGCCTCAGCCAGATCAAGCCAGCACAGGGGTACTGGTTCTGCTCCCTGCCCCCTGCTGCACTCTGAGCATGGCCTTCCTATCTTCTGTCACAAAGAGGAAGGACCAAGCAACAAATATAACATCTATAAGTGGTTTCTCACCTGCTGAGTAAAATTGTTTTCTAAAGAGCCACTGTTTTGAGTTACACAGCAGGAGAATGTCATGGAATTGTCCTGAGTCAGAAAGGGCCACTGGACATGGTAGTGCATGCCTGTAATCCCAGTGCTCTAGAGGCTGAGGCAGGAGGAGAGAGTTCAAAGCCAGCCTGGTCAACAAACCATAGATATCTCAAAAATTAAAAACACAGGAGCCACTAAACATTTTCTGCAACAGTCAGTGGATAAGGCTTTAGAGCAATAGGTCAAACTGGGGGACAGTAGGTAAAACGGGATGTTTTGTGGGGACTTGCATGTTTTTCATGTGTTACAGGATACTTTTCTTTAGATTTTTTTTCATACAATTAGAAATGTAAAACACTCCCACTTCATAATCTATACATATAAGCAGCAAGTGATTGATCTGTGATCAATAGTTTTCTTGCCCCTGATTCGCTCCCTCCCTCCCTCCTTCCTTGACCATGTCTCATTATGTTGCCAAGGCTGTTATAGAACTCCCAGGCCCACCTGACCCTCCTGCCTCAGTCTCCCAAGTAGCTGGGACTACAAGTGTGAACTATAGCAGCAGTAAAGAAACACTTTCAAAAGTTTAATATGCTTCAAGTTTGCCTCATGGGTTTGTTCAAACAGTCTTCTAGACCCTTGCTTGATATTCTGACCCAGAAGGCCTGGTGGCCTCTGGACTTGCACCTTCTCTTAGTGATAGATGCTGATGCTTTCTGTTCAGTGCCCACATTTTGAGTAGTGCTGATGTCCTGAAGTGCCCCATTTTACAGATGAGGTAACTGAGGCTCAGATAAATGACACTTCCAAGTCACACCCAGGATGTAAGGTAAGAATATCTGTACTGCCATTTCCCAGCACTGTTTAGCCACAGAAAACTCTGTATTTGCTTTAACCACAATGCTCCCCAAGCCGCTCTAAAATCTGTGTTGGGGTCAGATCCCAGCTCCCACTCTCACAACCACAACTTTCCCACCAAGATCTGCTCAGGAGTCATGTCCTTAAAGGCTTTCCGCCTTCTTCAGACCTATCTTCTCCTTTCTGCCACAGCTCTCTGAACATGTTTGTGTATCAGTGCTTGCCTGCCTGCCTGCATGTCTTTGAAACCAGAGTCTCTATTTTATTCTTTATATCTAATCCTTTGTGTAATGATAGAAACAGGATATATCACCAAAACATGCATTAAATAAGGCTGAGGATGTAGGTCCAGTAGCAGAACATTTGCCTAGAAATATGCATTGGATGAAAGAACGTATGGGCAAATGGATGGATGGATGGATAGATGGACGAATGGATGGATGGATGGATGGATGGATAACTGGGTGGGTGGGTGGGTGGATGGGCAGATGGGTGATTGAATGGGTAGATGGATGAGTGGATGGATGGTGGGAGTTGCATATGTGGGTTGGTGGATGGATGAGTGGATGAGTGAATGGATGAGTGGATGGATGGATGGATGGATGGATGGAGAGTGTCTGAATAAACACTCTCATGATCTATCTATGTTTAAAATTAATCTTCATAGCAAAGTTGAGACCAGCCCCCAATTCTGCCAAAGCACAAGCTAAAATCTATTCCACACCTGTTTATATACCTAGAGTATGAACAGAAACAGTTGCCTTTTTTTTTTTTTTTTTTTTTTTTTTGAGACAGGGTCTCTCTGTAGCCCCAGCTGTCCTGGAACTCAGTATGTAGACCAGGCTCGTCTCAAACTCACAAAGATCCACCTGCCTCTGCCTCCCAAGTGCTGGGATTAAAGGCGTGTGCCACCACGTCTGGCTGTGTGATGAGTGTGTAGCTGTAGGACAGGTCTTGGACTAATCATTCCTTCCAATCTCCTCAGTAACCCCTTTCCTGCCCCACCTTTACTAATAATAAAGGAATGCAAAGAGAGGGAGAGTCTGTTGTCCAAAGCACACAGCACATCTGATTCCATGCCAACTGCCTTGTCCTATCCTACTGTCCCACAGTGTCCCTCACCCCCAGCCCCACCCCAGCTCTGCAGGGCCCAGCTGGGCAGGCTCACCTCCATCTGCATAGGTCTCTGTGCCATAGCCATCCTGAAGGCCATTGTTCCAAGTGCCCTCATACTTGGCACCGCTGCCGGTGCTCTGCCGGGTTCCATAGCGTCCCTTGAAGCCATGTGTCCATTCACCTTTGTAGAGCCAGCGTCCCTTGGTCTCTATGCCCAGCCCATGTCGTTTGCCCTGGCTCCAGTATCCCTCAAAGGTGTTACCGCTGGGCCAGGTGTAGACGCCCGCCACTTCAAAGCCAAAGTTCCAGGAGCCGGAATACTCACCCTGACCCTTGGGGCCAGTGCACAGGCCGTGCCCATGCGCCTTCCCCCCCTCCCAGCCCCCACAGTATGCCCCACCATCGTCAAAGTCAAAGCGGCCCCCACTCATCGCATCCTCGCCCCTGACAACGCCCCGATCCTCCAGCTTGGGGCGTTGGGGTGTCTGTTACTCTCCAGGCCCCCAGACTCACCACCGGGCCCCAGGAGGGGCGGGGGTATCAAGATGCCAACAGAGACTGAAAGACCCCAAAGGTCAGGTCAGCACTGGGGGCCCTGGTCAGTGCCATGGCTGGAAGGTCCCCTCAGTGACCCGAGGAAGGCTGCAACTTGCAAAGGAAGCAGGAAGAGACTCAAAGTTCCCACAAAGCGTCCCAAGTCTAGCTTCCATGGAGTCCAAAGAAAAGCGGCGTGACCTCTTTAAGAAGCACAGTGCGAGGGGTGGGCTAGAGGGGTCCTGCCGTCCTTCAGAGAGCAGCAGTCCCCTGTGTGGCAGCCCCACGACACTGAGTTTCCACTGCCCACCCTGCAGCAGCCGCTGGTCCCCTCCTCGTCCACCCCAGTGGGCGTGCGGCTCCGCTCTCCCGGGGCTCCGCCTCTTCTCCAGCCCTGCCCTCCTCCTGGGACGGAAAGGTCAGTGTTGCCCTAACAAGGCCATTGGATCACAGAAGCTGCTCCCAAAATAACCCCCTGGCCAGCCCAGCCTCCTTCAGAGCGGGAGGGAGGGGGACTTCAAACCCGCTGGGCCTGCAAACCCAGGCAGTGGCCCCAGGGCTGAGCAGGGAAGCTGGAAGCCAAGTGTGGGCAGCAGGAGGCACTTGGCCGCTTGTCTAACCGTGGGTCAGCGATGCCTCCCACACCAGAATCCCCCGGGGGTCTGCAGGCAGGAACAGGAGCCTGACACCAGCAGACAGCCCAGTCCTGGGACACTTCACATTCCTCATGGTACAGAGGGTGGCAGACCTGGGGGTGGCGGGGCAACAGCACTCTAATGTTCTGACAGGATCCAGGTTTTCGGTGCCACTGCCAACCTTATTGAGGAATCCAGCGACATACAGAGAAAATAATGTGGAACAGTTGCAGGGGTGCTTTTGAAAGCAGGGGGAACTCAGGCTGAGCTGTGAGGCTCTAGCCACAGTCTGGCCCACACAGCAAGTCCTAACTCAGTGCTGATGTCCCAACTCCTGGGGCCCTCTGGGGAGAACCCTGGGCAGAAAGAACCAGTCCAGGAGGCTGGGGAGGTAGTCAAGTCACTAAAGTGCTTGTCATGCAAGCATGAGAAACTGAGTTCCATCCCTAGAATCCATGTATCACGCTGTGTGGTGGTATGAGCTTGTAACCACAGCACTGTTCCCTGTGCACTGGCCCCAAGGGTCAGGACAAATACTTCAGCTCCTGGAACAGGGGAGGTAGGAACAGGCAGATCCCTGGGGCTCACTAGCCAGACAATCTAGACTAATTCAGGCAAATGAGAGGCCCTGTCTCAAAAAAGGAAGGAAGAAAGAAGGAAGGAAGAAGGAGAGAGGGAGGGAAGGAGGGGGAGGGAGGAAGGAAGGAGGAAGGAAAGGAAAGGAAAGGAAAGGAAAGGAAAGGAAAGGAAAGGAAAGGAAAGGAAAGGAAAGGAAAGGAAAAAGGCAGCTGGTTCCTGAGGAACAACACCCAAAGTGGATCTCTGACCTCCATGCCTCTTACCCAACACACACACGCACACACACACACACACACACACACACACACACACACGAAAGCAAGCACAAGTCCAACCTTCTTTTCTCTCCCTGGAACAGGGAGGCTTCCATGAGCAGGGAGGAAGCCCCCTTTCCCCCTCTCTACTCCTGACACACACTGTGGGCCATGGTGGAATTTGGTCCACTTGGAAATACTCAAGGATGGTGATTTTTACAATGTTTCTCTTTCCTAGCTCACTTGTGCTGCAGTGTCCTGGGAGCCTGTGAGGCCAGGCTCCAGAAGGTTCTTCCGGCAAGAGCCAACAGTCTGTGTGGATTTCCCGCACCCAGGTTCCCACAGAGCTCCAGTAAGATGAAGAAATCTCTAAGACAAGAAAGACCCTGTGGTCCCCCTGAGGGCTATAAATCCCAACTGGGCCCAGAGTGGTTCTGGGAAAGGTAAGCACCACTAAGGAATAGGAATATCTCTCTCTCTCTCTCTCTCTCTCTCTCTCTCTCTCTCTCTCTCTCTCTCTGCAGCAGGAATGGGAGAAGGTAGAAATTACCAAAAAAGTCAAGGCCCAAGACAGCATTAGATTGTTATGAGACTCTTAGCAAACTTAACCATGTCTGACGTATTTCCTGGTCCCATGATGCCACCGAGTCACTGCAGAAGCTTCATTCTTGTTTAGAAATGGGCAGAAGGTGTTCTCTCCTTTCCACCCTGCTGATTATTGGTTCTTATGAGTTGGTCCTTTTATGTGTATGCAGTTAAATCCTCTGGGGAGAGGACTTCAGTGGCTGCATTTGTTTAACATGCCCAGACAAATCTGCACCACCTCTCCATCTCTAACTTTAAAACACTGTGAGGTTTCATTTATTTTATTACACCCCCCCACCCCGCCACCTCTCACACACAGCACACAGATGGTCAGAAGGCAGCTTGCAGGAATTCATTAGTCTCTCCTTCCCCTTGTGGGTAGCAAGCATGAAACTTGGGTGGTTGGGTCATCAGACTTGCTGAGCCGTCAGTTGACCCCATTATGAATTTTTTTAAATGACAAAATAGTTTTTTGGTAACATTTATAAATTTGCATGTAAGTTCACTTTATACAGGCCATACAGAGTAGGGAGTTTGGGAGTTAGATGTGTTTAAATCACAGTTCTGAGCTCTGTCTAGTGGCACAGGCCCAGCTACTGGGAAGGCAGAAGTAGGAGGATTGAAAATTCAAGGCCTACCCAGGCTACAGAATGAGTTCAAAACCCTGGCAACTTAGTGAGACCCTGCCTCCAAACAGAGTGAAAAGAACACTGGGAACGCAGCTCAGTGGTGGTGTGCTTGACCAGCAATGCTGAGGGTCCCAGTTCAGTCCCCATGCTGGAAAAAAGAAAGGAAGGAAGGAGGAAATTCAGTTTGCGGAATTTGGCTTTGCCCTTATCAGTCCAGTCTTGCCTGGGATTCCAGACCAGTCACCGCTTTTTTTCCCTTTACCTTTAATCCTGTGAATTTCAGGGAGAGGGCGCCCTCTTGTGCCGATATGTACATTACAACTGATTTTCCTTAGGAAAACAAAGTTCTTTAGACTTTACTAAGCTTGAAGTGAATTTAAACTGTTTTTAAACATCTGTGGTCTCACTCAGGCATGGTGGTACACGTTTTTAATCTCAGCACTCAGGAAGCAGAGGTAGGCGGATCTCTGTGAGATTGAGGCCATCCTGGTCTACGTAGTTTCAGGCCAGGTGGGGCTACAGGGAGACTGTGTTTCAAAAAAGCAAAAAAAAAAGAAAAAAGAAAAAAAAATGAATGAAATATAAACTAAAACCTATGGTCTCCCCTGGACTTCTGTCACTTCCTGGTTCCGTATTGATCAGAGGCCGTCACTGCCTGCCTCTACTTCCATTTTTCAACATGTGCAGCTTCCCAGGGATCCCAGAATTGTGGGTAACTGAGAAGTCCAAGCCCTTAGCTTCTGAAGGCCCAGGGGAGGAAGGTTCACCTTCCCATGAACCTTTGCAGACGAGCTTCCAGGCTGGCTCAGCTACACTTCCCACAGACTGTCTCTTCCCAGAGCCACGTTTGAAGCAAGAATTATCCTTGTTCTAAAAAATATTCAAACACTTGTTCATCCATGCCTGCACAGTGGGTGCTCCTCTCTCTCCACATGTGCAGCTGGGAACTCCCTCCTTGAACAACTTCTTCAGTTAACTTTGAGGCATCCTCTCTGGTCAGCCTCCTGCCTCACTGGCTCCTGCTCTTTGCCTGAGCCTTGTACCTTGGATGTCCTGAAGCTTAATCCAAGCATTTTTCTCTTTTGAGACAAGATCTTGCAATGTTGTCCAGGCTGGCCCTCAAAATCCTGGATTCAAGCTGTCCCGTCTCAGCCTCCTGAGTAGTAGTGACTACAAATATCTAGTACTTTGACTTGTGTGTGCATGATGGGGAACAAACTCAGGGCCTTGTGCTTGCTAGGCAAGTGCTCTATCACTTAGCTAAATCTCCAAGTCTGTTTGACTTCTTTAAATTTTTAAATTACTTGTGTATGTGTGTGTGCATGTGCCTTGGGTGGGAGGACGTGTGCGTGCCACAGCACATGTGCAGAGGTCCGAGGACGACTTTCAGGAATAGGTTCTCTCCTTCTACCATGTCTGTTCCAGGTATCAAATTCAGGCCCTCAAGCTTAGTGGCAATTGTCTTTACCCACTAAGCCATCTTGCCGGCCCCTTTAACATGGATACCCACTGCCTAGGTGATCTTGTCTTATGGTTTAAAAAATATCCATTGTTGCCAGGCGTGGTGGCGCACACCTTTAATCTCAGCACTCGGGAGGCAGAGGCAGGCAGATCTCTGTGAGTTCAAGGCCAGCCTGGTCTACATAATGAGTTCCAGGACAGCTGGGGCTACAGGGAGACCGTCTCAAAAAGACCAAA